GTAGGCATATGAACATTATCCTATCACTGACAGCATTGTACTTCAGGACAGATCTTGAAACATCTTTTTTGATGATGAATGCCACCCCATTCCTTTTCAATTTGTCATTCCCAACATAGTAAATCATATGGTTGATTTAAAATGGCCAAAACTGGTCCATTTCAGCTTGTGTTCCATTTCATTTTTGACAACTTCCAGTTTTCCTAGATTTATACTTCGTACATTCTATATTCTGATTATTAATGGATGTTTGCAGTTGTTTCTCCTCAATTTGAATCATGCCACGTCAGCACATGGAGGTCCTAAGGACTTACTTTATCCATATCATTAAGATTGGTTCTACTCTAATGAGGCATCTCTTTCCCAGTCCTATTCTGAGTGCCTTCCAACCCAAGGGGCTAGTCTTCCTGCACTGTGTCAGACAATGTTTCCAAGCTATTCATAAAATTGCCCAGTAATGTATCAGACAGTGTTTCTCTGCTATTCATAAGGTTTTCCCTGGCCAGTTTTTGAGAAGTGGGTGGCCTCCTCTTTCTTCCTAGTCTGTCTTAGTCTGTAAGTTTGTCAGAAGTGCACATTCTCCTCATCAGAATGTGCATCCCTCTTTCCTAGGAGGCTTTCCACCACAGCCTTCGAGATTGCCAACATTTATGGAATGAGTGTGTGTTAGGCTGGGTTCTCCAGAGAAGCAAAACCAGTAAAGCTTATATATACATATAGAGAAAGACAAATTTATCTTAGGAAAATGGCTCACACACTTATAGAGACTGGCAAGTCCCAAGTTCTTGGATCAAACATTGAGCTGGAAGCTTTTCCCAACTCACGCAGCTGCAGGGGCTGACGAGCTCAAGATTGGCAGGCAGTATACTGGCTGTTGACTCCAATGAATGGTGAATCCAAGACAAACTTGTCTTCCAATTTGTCATCCTGTGAGGCTTGTACATTGTTGTGAGGCTTAAGGCTATGGCACTGGTGTTTCAGACGCCAGCAGATTTGCACATGGTACACAGGTTTCAACGCAGAGGCAGCTTGTTATGTATAAGCAATTATACAAATTAGTGAAACACTGTTTACAAAGGCCTCAAAGAAGTCATTCCTCTTCAATCTACTCTGTGATAGTTAGAGCTGTGTGTCAACTTGGCTGGACCACAATTCTGTGTGGTTTAAGTAGTTGTGGTGTGGGTTATTCCCATGATGAGATCGGATGTACATGTTTTGAGCAGCCAATCCATTGAAAGGGAGTTTCCATAGGGGTGTGGCCTGCTTCCAATATGGACATCCTGGGAAAAGAGACACTCTTCCATGGATCGGGATCCTGTTTGCTGCCTACAACTGTCCATGAGCAAACAATCCACCATTCGGCCTGGAGATCTTGGGTTCATCATTCTGATGAGCAGAATTTGCACTTCTGACTGAAAACACATGCCCTTTAGAACATTAAGACTCTGTACAGACACCAGTTTATATGCCCTGCAGAACATGTACAAAGGGGAGGGGGGAATGTCAACTTAAACTAAGCAAAAGGACTCAAAACACAATTCCAACTGTGGGATGAGTATTGAAGCAATGGTTGTGAAGTGAAAAAAGAGAAGGAAAAATGGCACTCTAGTCACTGTGGTTAAAGCATGGGGCTGCTAACTAAAAGGTCGGCAGTTTGAACCAACTAGCTGTTCCATGGGAGAAAGATGAGGCAGTCTGCTTTTGTAAAGATTTATAGCATTAGAAACCCTTTGGAGGTAGTTCTACACTGTGCTCTAGGGGCCCTGTGAGTTGGAATCAACTCCACAGCGGTGGGTTTGGTTTGGACTTTGCCTCCATAAAGATTAGCCTTGGAAACCCTGTGGGGCAGTTCTACTCTGCCCTCTAGGTGTGCTGGGAGTTAGAATCAACTCCACAGCAGTGGGTTTCGTTTGGGCTTTGCTTCTGTAAAGACTGACAGCCTCGGAAACCCTATGAGGCAGTTCTACTCTGTCCTCTGGGGTCGCTAGGAGCCAGAATAGACTCAATGGCAGTGTGTTTAGCCACCAGCCACCACTGTTACAGCTCAACAGTGCTCTTTGTTTAGGACCCTAGCTCTCAGAAGTCATTAGTGAGGCAATCATGGACGATGAATTTGAAGGAAGAAAATATACAAGATTTGCAATCCTGTATAATTACAATAAACAAGATACACAATTTGTATACAAGATCCTGTGTAGGAAGCTTTCAGTCCCTGGTTAGCCAGTTCCAGGATGGCCATTATGGCAAATTCTCTTGGAGACATGATCCCAGACAGCAAGGTGTGCTGCAAATGAGAATTTCTGGGGTTCTTCAAATTGGAAACTTGACTTCTGATACAAATTTTGTATTCGTTGAGATTTCTTGAATAAAGGGCCAAAACGTGCTCAATTTCTCTTGCAAATTGTACAAATTAACTTCAAATACAGGAAATCAGTACAAAGCCAATTTATATGCAGAAGTCAAATATATCCCAGATTTTCCCATTCTCTAAGCTGCTGTACCATTCTATCTCTGACACTGGCCACTCTCCCTCCCGTTTGGGTTCAGTAATTTGCTGCCACATCTCACTCTTGAACTACACATACAGTTAAGTAGTTTACTAATGTGTTAGATTGGGTTCTCTAGAGAAACACACACACACACAAAACCAGCAAGGTATATATATATATTTAGAGAGAGAG